GCATTAGGTTTCCTAAGCCCTTTGCAATTCGGTTTACCGCATTTATGTCGACTACACAAGAGTATAACAATCATCCAAGCAGATAATGCAGTACATGAGATGCTTAAAGCTATTAACCCGTAGACAATCGGATCAGGGTTACGAATAATCTCTTCCTTGACTAAACAAGATAGCTCAGAGAAGATTTCTAAAGATTTGAGAGTGATGAATTTGATGTAAGGGAAGATTAAGAACCCGGAAGATGTAATCACTGCGATTAGGATCAATACGTCGATTGCAGCTGATCTAGATCCGTCGCAACATACTGGGAAATTTGAACAGCTTGATGATTTTCTGTTGCTGCTTCTTTGTTTAAAATCTGGTGAATTCGCCATGATCGGAGATGGTTTTTCGACGACGGAGATGGAGCTCTGGAGATATACCATCTCAGAAAACTCAAATCCCAAATTCCGATTTGCGTAAACCCTAGGCGATTTCACCGATCAAACAACAACAAAAATCAAAACTTGAACAAATCAAATCGAACCCACCAAGTCTTAAAAACAGAAACTTCAATCGAATTTATAAACAAGTGAAAACCTGATTGGATTGGATCGAAGAACTTGGGTCGAATCTGATCGAAATGAATCGAAAACCCAACAAAACAAAAACAAAAATTCGAAATCAGATCAATCCGTCCGATGAAGAATCGAAATCGGAATTGGCGAAAATCTGATACTGAAAACACACAAACTCAAGAGCTGGATTTAAATAAGATGAATCGAATATGGTTGGAGAAGTCGGAGACGTAAATTGAGATTGGAAAGAGGACAAACAGGGAAGAAATCTGGAGTCAAGGGAATTCAATACGAAAAAAAGAAAGTTAGATCGTCAATGTCGTCATGATGATGATGATCGTTGATTTAAAAAAAAAAAAAAGGCTTCTGTCTTTTTACGGTTTACAAAATCGATGATGATCAGTGTCGTGTAAGAAGGAAGGAAGAGAGGAGGAAGAAGAGATTATATAAACTTCAATCGTTTCCTTCGTGCATAGTATGGAAATGTAATTTAGTCTCCA